ATCCTCTACTACTACAAATCAAGTTTGAGGCCAGGCTTGGCTATGTAAGACCCCGTATTTAAATTAAAAATAAAAAGCTACATAGTATATCGGGACCATACCAGTAAAGACAGATAAAAACACATTGCAGCCTACAGCCATCATTCAGATGAGGCTTGTTACCTATACGATAGCACCTAAATTCAAGGACCCGCACCCAGTCCTTAGTTGATGGTCTTTGCAGAAGACCACGCTGGGTAGTACCAAGGAAGTTTCAATGCCATCTGAGGTACATATGAGTCCCTGTCAGTAGTCCCAGTGCCTGGTTTGCACAGTTAACTGTATCCTGATCTAATGTTCAATCCTCAGAGATGTTGCTTTTTTTTTTTTTTTTTTTTTTTGTGAAATAAGACTTTTGGGCTTAGATCTACTGAATTGCTTAATAAAGTTGATGTGTTTTGTGACCATTTTTGACTTTTAAAATAAGCTGGTAAACGCTTTCAAAGTAATTTTTAGTTGTGTTGTAGGATGTATTGGATCCCTGCCTCCTCATTGCTGGAGTACTTTCCTGGGTGTCAGACCTTGGAATGCAAATTGAGTGACAGCTAGCTGGTAACAATCGAGAACCGGAGCAGGTGAATGTAAGGACTCTGTTTATGTAAATAAACGTCTTGACAAGCTATGTAATGTAAAGCTCACTAAATTTTGGTGACATTTTGGTTTGCTTTGAGACCATGTCTGGCCATGACTGGTCTGGAATTCACAGATCTCCCCATTTGCCTCCCAGTGCTGGAATTAAAGCCACACCCGTGAACATTTCTTTTCTGTTTACTATTTTGTGTACAAGTGTTTTCCCTCTCTGTATGTTCTCACACCAAGGTTGTGTGCCTGGTGCCTGCTGAGGTCTGAAGAAGGCCTCAGATCCCTTGGGACTAGAGTTATAGACAAGTTGTGAGCCACTATGTGAATGCTAGGAATTGAACCCAGGTCCTCTGTAAGCAACAAGTGCTCATAGCCATTGAGTCTTCTCTACCCCCTCCCCGCCCCATCCCAACATTTTTTTTTTAAAGTATAAATTAAAAAAAAAATGAAAGCAAGCCTTTGGAATTTGAGTGAAATTGGTAATTGTTTAATAAAAGTAAATGCTTTATACCATTTTTTGGCAAGGAGTAGGGATTAGAGACAGCTGTTTCTCTTTTGATAGCCCTGGCTATCCTGGAACTATAGATGAGGCTGGCCTGAAATTCAGGGCTCCTTTCTCTGCCTCCCAAGTGCTTGGCTTGAAGGAATGCGCCACCACACCCAGCTGCTTTATATGAGTGTAATGCAAAACTTGAAAGAGATCAGCTAAAAGTCTTCCAAGAATTTAGATCCTCCCAGCCCCCACTCTCTGGGTAAAATCGGTTTTACAAGTAGATAATAAAGTTGTATAATAAATAATAACATTGCTGGAACTATAATTGTAGGTCTTCCTGGAAATTGTAGGGGTAGCACTGAAAACTCCCTTAGCCCTTGTTCAGCATCTCACAGTAGGATGGGAAGACGGGAGGATGCGACACACAGAGTCAGTGGGGTTTACATCCGGCAACAGCGTGCTGCCTTTAATGGAGCAGACACGTCCTGACTGCGCGCAGAGAGACGTCACTAATCTTGGGAAGAAAACACCTCAAGTGACCTTGGTCTTTGGGATACCAGTGCCCTTGCTGAGCTCAGTCACTGTATACAATGACTGATTTATTGAATGAAAAAGCGTGCATCAAAGTGCTTTAGAGGCTATACCAATGGGCATAATGCTTGTTTACGTTAATGCAAAATATGAGTTTTAACTAATTGAAGTACGTATGTAGTTGACTTTGGTTAGTGGCCAAATCATTGTTTTTCATTTTTTATAAGAACGGGTCTTAGAATTTTTTGACTCTGTCATTTGGCTCTTACTTGGAAGGAAACAAAGTTATCTAGTTAGATTTACCTCCTGGTGTTCAAATAAACACCGCCATTACAACCCTTAGAACCGTAGCCAGTATTGTTTCCGTTAATGATTACGAGGCAAACCCCGTGTTTTTCACATTAACCGTGTGAGTCCCTGTGTTTGTAGTTGTTATTCCCGCCTTGATACTGGGCGAATGGTGGTAAACAGGCTGCAAATGGGAGAGCAGGACTGGGATCCAGTGCCTCTGCCCTGCCTCCTCGCTCAGTTTCATCTCTGTGTGTGGGCAGCACTAGGTTCCTCTCAGGTGTTTTCAGTTTTCAATAACTGCCAATACTAGAAGGTCTTTTCTAGAGCTATTGGTCCTCTTTGCTTCTTTCTTTTTTTCTTAACCTTTTTTAAAAATACATATATTTATTCGTTAGGTATACAGTGTTCTGCCTGCAGGCCAGAAAAGGGCACCAGATCTCATTACAGACGGTTGTGAGCCACCACGTGGTTGCTGGGAATTGAACTCAGGTGCTCTGGAAAAGAGCAGCCAGTGCCCTTACCCTCTGTGCCACCTATCTCTCCAGCCCTTTCTCTTTATTTTTCATTAAAAGTTACTGTGAATCATACAGTGGGATGACCAGTGTGACCTCAAAATCTCACCCTACTTAAAATGGGCTTGGGTCAGTGTTTTTCTATACTTTTTAACCCTTTGCATTCAGTTGTTATTGTGTAGATTTGTTTTCTATAATTCTAGTTGTAGCAGTTCTGTTTCTTCCCCTTCATTTGCTGCCTTCATTCATCAATATACTTTTTATTTTTTTCAAGGCAGGGTTTCTNCATATCTTACTTGGACAAATGATCATGTGATTACTTGGAGACTTAACGAGGGTGCAGGTCCTTTTCAACTCCCTTGAGTTAGACCAAGTAAGGCTCAGAGTAGTTGCTTCTAGGGTATTTCCAGATCCTCTGCTCCAATGTGGTGATAAGTTTTGCCCAACTGGAGTCAGTCAGGGGATTCTTTTTTCTTTTTCTTTCTTTCTTTTTTTTTTTTTTTTTGGTTTCTCGAGACAGGGTTTCTCTGTGGCTTTGGAGCCTGTCCTGGCACTAGCTCTGTAGACCAGGCTGGTCTCGAACTCACAGAGATCAGCCTGCCTCTGCCTCCCGGGTGCTGGGATTAAAGGCGTGCGCCACCATTGCCCGGCTCTCTGTAGCTTTGAAGCCTATCCTGGAACAAACTCACAGAGATAGATCCTCCTGTCTTTGCCTCCCAAGTGCTGCGACTAAAGGTGTGCGCCACTACCACCCAGCTTTTTTATTTCCTTTTTTTTTTGTTTTGTTTTTTTGTTTTTTGAGACAGGGTCTAACTATGTGTCCTGGCTGGCCTGGAACTCACAGAGATCTGCTTGCCTCTGCCTCCCAAGTGCTGGGATTAAAGACTTAGGCCACCAAACCCAGCAGATTTTTTAAATAGAATTTATTTATTTTTAAAAGATTTAATTTACGTGTATTCCTCTTTTGCTTGTATGTATGTTTGTGCACCAAATATCCAAATATGTACAGTGCCCATGGAGACCTGAAAAGGGCATTGGATCCCCAGGAATTGGAGGTACAAATGGTTGTGAGCTGCCACGTAGGAACTGGGAATCGAACATGGATCCTCTGGAGGAATGCTCTTAACCACTAAGCCATTCTTCAGCCCTAATAAATTTTTTCTGTGAAAATTTTCAAGCAAATAAAAAAAATGAAACACTTAAGGCCCTGCTTTGATAAGGGTTCACATGTGTATTCAGGAGACTGAAGTAGACGTCTGAGTCTGAGGTTCTCATAATTATATGGTAGAACTCTTGTCCCCAAAACCTTAGGTAGAGGGCAAGAGAGATGGCCCAGCAGTTAAACACTTAGTGCTCTTGCAGATGACCCTGCTTGGGTTCCCAGCATTTATTCATAGGTACTTTAATCTACCTTTAACTCCAGTTCCAAGGAATCGAATGCCCTCCTTGACCTCCACAGGCTCCGGCATGTATGTGGTATATATAAAATAGCTTTTAAAATCCCAAAGTAAATTTGAGAAAAGAAGACTTGTTTTTAGCATACTTTAAAGATAAGCAACAGTTCCTTAATATCAAATCATTGAAGAGGCTTTTAATGCTCTACACTCAAATTATTAACCTTTAGTTTAAGTTGTTTCTTTTTTTACTTTTACTTTTGTTGTTCATGTGTTCTGTTGTTTAAGATGTCTGTTCCCTTTCAAATTTAGTATGTGTTTTTCCCCTAGCATGAAGACAGTTTTTTGTGTGTATATGTTCATTTGTATATAAGGGCGTGTGTGTGTGTGTGTGTGTGTGTGTGTGTGTGTGCATATGGAGGCCAGAGGTCAACCTCAGGCATTGTTCCTCAGGTGCTGTCTACTTTATTTTTGAGACAGGGTTTCTCGTTGATTTGGAATTTCATAAGTAGGCTAGCTGCTGGCCCACCAGCAAGTCTATTGGGTGCAGAGATAGATGCATCTGTGCCTAGCTTTTCGAAGATAGGGTTTCAGGGGTCCTCATGCATCCTTCCTTGTTTGTTTGGATACGGATACAAGGTCTCACTATGTGGCTGTGGCTGGCATGGAACTTACTGTGTAGACCAGACTGGTCTGGAATTTGTAGAGATCTGCTTGCCTCTGCCTCATTTTTAACTTTAAAAATGTTAAGCTTTGGGGCTGGAGAGATGGCTCAGTGGTTAAGAGCATTGCCTGCTCTTCCAAAGGACCCGAGTTCGATTCCCAGCAACCACATGGTGGCTCACAACCATCTGTAAAGAGGTCTGGCGCCCTCTTCCTGGCCTTCAGGCACACACACAGACAGAAAATTGTATACATAATAAATAAATAAAATATTTTTTAAAGTAAAAGAAAAAAAAATAAAAAACATGTTAAGCTTTTTGCTTTTGGTACCTTTTGTTCAACATGAGAAAATTGAATAAATAGCTAAATATTTTTGTCTTCAAATTTAAAAAATAATTTAGGCTTATTACTGGCTTTTGCTTCATTAGCATAGAAAACCATGCCTTGATTGAAAGCACCTGCCTGATGTCTGGCTGTCGTTTTTGTTTTACTTAGGTCTGATTACTAGAAGATGGCGAAGGCCAGCCACAGCAGCTATGTCCTTCAGCAGCTCAACAACCAGAGGGAGTGGGGTTTCCTCTGCGACTGCTGCATTGCTATCGACGACATTTACTTCCAGGCACACAAAGCGGTCTTGGCTGCCTGCAGCTCCTATTTTAGAATGTTCTTCATGAACCATCAGCACAGCACTGCACAGCTGAATCTCAGCAACATGAAAATAAGCGCTGAGTGTTTTGATCTCATTTTGCAGTTCATGTATTTAGGAAAGATTATGACTGCTCCTTCCAGTTTCGAGCAGTTCAAGGTGGCAATGAACTACCTACAGCTGTACAATGTTCCTGACTGCTTAGAAGACATACAGGACGCAGACTGTTCTAGTTCAAAGTGTTCGTCTTCCGCTTCAAGCAAACAGAACAGCAAGATGATCTTTGGGGTGAGGATGTATGAAGACACGGTGGCTAGGAATGGCACCGAAGCCAGCAGGTGGTGTGCAGAGCCCAGCTCGACGGTGAATACACCACATAACAGAGAGCCCGACGAAGAGCCTTTACAGCTAGCTAGTTTTCCTGAGCCAATATTTGATGTGTGTAAAAAAAGCTCTGTGTCCAAGTTATCTACTCCAAAAGAACGTGTGTCACGACGCTTTGGGCGGAGTTTTACCTGTGATAGCTGTGGGTTTGGCTTCAGCTGTGAGAAGTTACTAGACGAGCATGTGCTGACCTGCACTAACAGACATTCATACCAAAGCACGGCGAGAGCTTACCACCGAATAGTAGATATTAGAGATGGCAAAGATAGTAACATCAAAGCGGAACTGGGTGAAAAGGAGTCTTCCAAAACATTTTCCGCACAGACAGACAAATACAGAGACGACGCCAGCCAGGCGCCCGATGATTCAGCTTCGACCACTGCAAGCAGAAAAGGCACAGTGGAGTCTGGAATGGCGGCTGGTGAAGACAAAAGTAGAGCCACCGAGACGAAAAGAATTATTATCAAGATGGAGCCAGAAGATATCCCTACAGATGAGATGAAAGACTTCAACATCATTAAAGTTGCTGACAAAGACTGCAATGAGTCCACGGACAATGATGAGTTAGAAGATGAACCCGAAGAGCCGTTCTATCGATACTATGTTGAGGAAGATGTCGGCATTAAAAAGAGTGGAAGGAAAACCCTAAAGCCTCGGATGTCCGTAAGTGTGGATGAAAGAAGTGGTTTAGAAGGTATGAGACCCCCCACCAATAGCAGTCCAGGGCAGGAGGATGCTGACAATGCCTCTTGTGAGTTGTGTGGGCTCCCAATAACCGAGGAGGACCTGTCATCTCATTATTTAGCCAAACACATCGAAAACATCTGCGCATGTGGTAAATGTGGACAAATACTTGTCAAGGGCAGACAGCTTCAGGAACACGCTCAGAGATGTGGAGAGCCTCAGGATCTGACCATGAACGGGCTGGGAAATGCCGACGAGAAGATGGACATGGATGAGAACCCTGATGAGCAGTCTGAGATAAGAGACATGTTTGAAATGCTAGATGACTTCAGGGACAATCATTACCAAATAAACAGTATCCAGAAAAAGCAGCTATTTAAACACTCTGCTTGTCCTTTTCGGTGTCCCAATTGTGGCCAGCGTTTCGAAACTGAAAACTTAGTGGTCGAGCATATGTCTAGCTGCCTAGACCAGGATATGTTTAAGAGTGCCATCATGGAAGAAAATGAAAGAGATCACAGACGAAAACATTTTTGTAATCTGTGTGGAAAAGGATTTTATCAGCGCTGTCATTTGAGAGAACACTATACTGTTCATACTAAGGAAAAGCAGTTTGTGTGTCAGACATGTGGAAAGCAGTTTTTAAGAGAGCGGCAGTTGCGTCTGCACAATGACATGCACAAAGGCATGGCCAGGTATGTCTGTTCCATTTGTGATCAAGGAAACTTCCGAAAACATGACCATGTACGGCATATGATTTCCCACTTGTCTGCTGGCGAGACTATATGCCAGGTCTGCTTTCAGATATTCCCAAATAATGAGCAACTGGAGCAGCATATGGATGTTCATCTCTATACGTGTGGAATATGTGGAGCAAAGTTTAATTTGAGGAAGGATATGAGATCACATTATAATGCCAAGCATTTGAAAAGAACCTGAGGGGCTTCCTACTGTACGGATGTTTAGCTGATAGGCAGGACACCAAAGCGAAAAGGAGATGAGCTATTTAGACACTGATTTTACAAGAAGTGTTGGGAAAACTTTTCATGGCCCTTTTACTTTAACATTTTTGTTTAGGACCTTAAGTATATTTTAGGCATTAAATGTTATCATTTTTGATGTTTTTAAGAGCATTCTTTGTTCGTAGTTTTTTTAACTACCATTAAAGTTACTTTTCAATGTAGACTGTAAGTGGCTATTATCCCTTCAATGACTATTAAACTAGTGTTTTTTTTTTAAACCAATAAGGTAATGATTTCACTATTTCTATGTACTTTGATTTTAAGGTTATCCTATGAAATTTTAAACCCTAGATCATTGACCATTCCTACTTAAATTTTTAAAAGAATTTTTACATAATTATTTAAAAACTATCCTATTCATTTTTAGCTTCTTTTTTGGCTTTGCTTTTTGGGGGTTTTTATTTTTGCTTTTTTGTCTTTTTGTCAGTTGTATAGTGGGGTGTCTACTGTTCATTCTCCCTTATCAATGAAATCCATATTCTTAAATTGACAAGCTTAGGCAAGTGAGGTGCACTGAATCTAACCTATAAGGTGGACATGGGCTCAATCCTGGCCTAAGATTGATGGACCTAAGGAAATTCCTATAAATGAACATTTCCTATAATTGATAAAATATTATCATTTAATAATCACATTTAAAACTTATATTAAGTGTAAATCCCAATGACTTTTCCTCACTTGAGAAATTAGTGGGGATAAGCCATTTCATTTTGTGATACTGAATTTAACTATGATAGTTAATTAAAAAGACATCTTGTATTCATTAAAATATTTTAATTTAAAAATATTCTGATTTCTAAAGTGTGTTAGTTTATCAATTATTTTGTTTTTAAATAAGACTTTAATAGCTCTTTAGGAATATGACATTTAAGGAAAAATTATTTTTCATTTTTAAAATTACTTTGGAACTGAGATTTGAAAAAGCTGCCATGTATATTGATAAATCTAATAAAATAAAGAAATCAACTATAAATCTGGTTGTTCTATAAAAGTAGAGTGCACAAAGGTGTGTCGTGTTTTACACTAAGATTTGGAGGAAGTGTGTTGTGGCAAACTGCAGTTTATCGCTATGTTTTATATATCATCTTCTGTAAAAGATACAAGATTGAGGACTATTAACTAATCACAGCATATAACTGGAAGCAGTCTACTGTCAGGTGACGCAGTCATACTGTCGGTTGCCGACAGTGTCTATAACCATCAGTTACATGTGAGCTAAAACACTGGCGAAACAACCCACCCATAAACACATCTAGAGACTAGAGTGCCTTTTAACGTGAGTTACTTGAAACCCCCTTCTTAGATGAAAAGGGATTAACAGTATGGCTCTGATTTGTGGATAGTAGTTTAAAAGCATTGCTCTTCTTGCTCTCAATATTTTTAAGGCACGCAAATCATTTTTACATGCTATTTGCATAAAAGCATAAGTTGCCAAGAGAACTGAGAGACGGGTTGGCTAGGACAGGGTTAGCTGAAAGTACTCGAGCACTGAGTGCGCACAAATCCATGGCGTGTGTTGGAGTATTAGTGAGGACAGGAGGGTGTGCAAGCCAAGCCGGTTGAAACCTGATCTTGGTAAGAGAGACACAAAAACATGAGGAGATCGTGGGAATTAGTTAATGGGAAAAGCTGAAAGGTCACTCATTTTAAAATCTCTTAGATCTAATAGTTTAACAAGTACTTAAAACTGACAAGAAAATATAAGATGTGTTCCTGGATTACTGGGAAACACCTGACAAGTGTTCTCACAAAGCCAGACATTAAAGAGCAGTGTAAAGGAAGGGAAGACAAAGTCAAGTTATACAGTGTTGGGGGTCAGGGGGGTCTTCATTTGGGGGGTCACTTTTCCCTGTCAGAATTCCTGTTGCAAGGATTCTCCCACTTTTTAAATATCTCTTTTTGAGGAGGGGACCCCTCTTATGAGGGAGAGGGGTTTCAGTTAGTGTTTAGTGTATGCTAACAACTAATAAATTAGGAAGCAAATGTTTCCTAACTTTACCCAGCTGTGACAGTTGGAAAAGCCATGTTTGGTGGTGTTTTCTATTGCATACTGTATAGTAAGCATGTTTTTGGGAAATTAAGCTACAGGTTATCACAGGTTTCTCCAAGAAGAGTGTACAGTTCGTTTTCTTTAACAAGACAGGGTTCAGGTAAAAGCTACTGAGCTTGGGCTGGAGAGATGACTCAGAGGTTCAGAGTACTGGCTGCTCTTCCAGACACCCCGAGTGAGTTCATTTCCCAGCAACCACATGGTGGCTCACAACCATCTATAATGAGATCTGATGCCTTCTTCTGGCGGGCATGCAAGCATGCAGATAGAACACTGTATACATAATAATAATTAAAAAAAGAAAACAAAAAGTTACTTAGCTTGTAAAATTAAGGGGGATGGAAAACATCCAGCACTTCCTCTGCCTTCGACCCCTCTCTCTTTCCCTGGGCTGTGAGAACAATGACAAGGCCTTTAATCACACATTTAGGATCCGTAGTTTTCAGACCTGGAAAGGAAAAGAGAGACCAGAGAAGAATAGCATCTTTTCCCTCTTTTAATGACACTTTTTATTTGAAGTCCCATTTCTGGAATTTCTTAAACAATAGTCTAATTAGATTTTTTTTTTTTACCCCCTCTGGCCCTCCAGGACAGCCATTCTGCCCCTGAGCTATGTGTGAAGTTTAGCTTTTGGAAACAGGAAAAAAAAAAATCTGGGAGCAATAATCCATTTCTACCAAGGTTGACATTACAATGTGGATCTATGATTTCTTAAAGACTGGGCCTCAGAACTAACTGGTTTTCATTCCTCCCTGTCCATGTTGCAGTTCACTGCCTAACCCAGGCTTGCCTCAGGAACACGCTGCTCCTCTGCCGTTAGCCTCCCAGGTTCAGGAGTTACAGGTGTGAGCTGCAGTGCTCAGCTTCTCGAGTCCTTTCAGGTTCTTCGTTTTCTGAGTCAGGGGCTTGGTCTGTACAGCAAGAGGCCGAATGGAAAGTTCCATCCTGCCAGGCGGTGGTGGCGCTCGCCTTTAATCCCAGCACTTGGGAGGCAGAGGCAGGCGGATCTCTGTGAGTTCGAGACCAGCCTGGTCTACAAGAGCTAGTTCCAGGATAGGCACCAAAACCACAGAGAAACCCTGTCTCAAAAAAAGAAAAGAAAAAGAAAGTGCTCCTTGGGAGTGTTGGGATTGCTCCATCATACCCCATACCCAGCTAATTGCCCATATTTTTGAAGTTTTTCAGAGAAATGACTCACATAGGTATCGCGGAATATAGCAAATGTTTAATTAATATAAAGTAATGAACAATTTGACTCTAAGCAAAACATTTTAAAAGAGTTAAGCTGCCGGGTGGTGGTGGCGGCAGGCACCTTTACTCCCAGCACTCAGGAGACAGAGGCAGGCCGATCTCCGAGTTTGTTGCCAGTCTGGTTTACAAAGTGAGTTCCAGGACAGCCTGAGCTACACAGAGAAACTCTGTCTTGAAAAACAAAAAGAAAAAAGGGGGAGGGGGAATAATTAAACTGAGTGCCTGTAATCCCAGCATGCAAGACGCTAGGCTAGTTTCAAGGCTACCACTTGAGTTCAGAGCTGCACTGGTGTTCACATAGTAAGACCCTGTCTCAGAAAAACGAAAGATACTATTGCGGACAGCAGGACAATGGGATTGAAAGTCCATGTTTCAACTTGAAGCAAAAATATGAACGCGATGTAAAATTGAGTGAAAACCGATATATGGAGTTTGGAGGAGGAGGAGGAGGTGTAGAATTCAGGTCTTGATTAGGCTAATCCAACTGTAGCTGAAATACCCCGTGGGATCGTGGTTACAAGCATGGCCAGGGTGTGCCCCTAAGAGCCAGGTGGAGGTGGTTGATGGTAACTTCTCACTGGTTAAGCGATATCCCTTTATATCACTAATAAATTTATGTATTTACTATATCTCTGAAAAAAATCTTAAAAGCCAGTTTAATAGCTGTAATATTGAAGAGTAAAACTGCCCTTTTTAACAAAAAGAGATAACACCAATGCTAAAAGAAAAAGACCCAAACATGTATATGCAGCTGAAAAGTTTAAAATTGGACATTCCTAATCTGAACTGACTTTATCATTAAGAATTGGATATGATAGCACATACTTGAAAATCAGCATTTGGGAGGTTGAACCAGGAGCACCAAGAGTTCGAGGCCAGCCTGGACTACGTGATACCATGTCACAGGTTGTTTAAAAGAAAGAAAAGAGCTGCCCCACCCCATTGATGTGTTTCGATCATTTCCTCAGCTTCATTCACCGTCCTCTTTTTCTGTGTAAGTCCTTCCCAATGACAAAATGCCAGTTCTCTACCATTAACTAGGATTGCAGGGGAGCATATTCTCATAGAGTCCTGTCCTCGGTGCTCAGTAGCTCAGCTCAGGAAACTAGGTATGATAGGCATGGGCACTCAGAAACTAGCACAAGTGATGCCATCCTTCATAGGAAGAATTTGAAGCTGAGCATTGCAGCTTAGGAAACCCACAATCTGCCCAAAGTCAGGCTCCCGATAATCGGAGCATCCATTTCTTCAGCACGCTATATTTAGATGTTTTGCACACATAATTTTAATTGATTCTCATTCCCTTTGTGGTAAGTATACTAATTTTTCAGATAGGGGGAGGGGGCTAATGTCCAAAAACTATCTTTCCTAAGCCACACAAACTGTATATTCGACCTGGAATTTGAACTTAATCTTTGGCGTAGGCTACGTTCTTGTCCTTAATCGTGAAGACTCATGTTCCGTCTATAAAGAAGTGCCTTTTCAGCATAGCACACACGACAAAGGTCGTGTGAGGCTGTGCTCCTTGGGCATCTCATCTGTGGTACCTGGTAAGGTGGCTGGTTAGTGGGTACTTAGGAACAATCTGAGGTGAGGTGCCGAAAGCAGAAAGCAAATGAATGTGTCATTCGGAATGTTGTAGACTTGAAATGCTGAGGAATGTTTTGGTTTGCTTCATTTAAATTTAAAACATTTCGTGGAATAGTTAGTTATGTGAGGGCCCAATAATCAGTAGAAAGTTAGTTTGAATTCACATTGCAGGTCTCTGGTGGGCTTCCCTTCCTCCCCCTGTGCCTGCTCTGTGTGTTTTAGTTTCCACCAGCCTGTTTCCTTGTATTGGTCATGGAACTGGTGAGTTGAAGAAGTCGGACTCCTTGAACAAATCTTCCCAAGGGGGAAAAAAAAAAAACAAGATAACAATAACCAGTTTCTTTATTGCTCTAATAGATGTGGGTAAGAAGCTCACTATTTCCCTCCCCCACTGGGATAGTGTGGTTGCTTTATCAAAGGACTGCTTAAAAACAAAAGGCGGTTATTCTAACGATGTGTAACTCCATTTATGAGAACCTCTGTAGATGTCTGGGAAGCTCCTCAAAGGTGGTCTTACAAGAGAAGTAAGCGATGACCCCAGGAGGTCGCAGCTTCACAACCACCCCAGTCCAGCAGCACTCAAGACAAGGCAGTGCTTTCAGGAGAGCAGTACGATCCTGACCTTCGCAGCTGTTATTCAATGTCTATACAACAGTTTATGCTAAAGCTGCCACTTTAATAATTTAGCTACCATACGTCAATGAGATGGAGAATGTTCCGTGACTGGTCATTCAAATGGCCCGCTCCGCACTGCTCCCTGTCAGTCTCTAGGACACATGATGGATATAGTCTCAAAAACAGGTGTAATTTAGCTTTTTAGGAAAAGGCCAAAAGAGAAGGATTTTAATATTTATGTCTGTCAGTGACAGTTGGTAAATAGAAACTAACCAGATGACAGAAACAACTTGTAAACCCATGCTAACTTTGAACCAATTGATTACTAACATATGCCCATACAGACATACATAATTGAAGTTAGCATTGAGTTTAAATCTTGAGCTTCCTTATGGCAAGAGAACCAAATTATTGAGGCAGATTAGTAGTGAGAGATTTTCTTTGTATCAAAATCCACAGATCAATGGAGGGCAGAAGGTCATTAACACTGAAAGATGATGAAAATTACAATTCAATACTTGGTTTTATTCTAATGTGTCAATGTGCTAATCACCGAGCTAAGTACAAAAATCACAGGGAAAGGCTAGTACCTGAGGAAGCTGACAAAAGACATTGCAGAGCCAAGAATATTAATAATTTCATGCAAGAAAATTTCCATTGAAAAAAGCTGGTTATGGTAGCATGTACCTTTAATCCCAGCACTTGGGAGGCAGAGACAGGCAGACCCCTGAGTTCAAGGACAGCCTGGTCTACAGAGCAAGTTCCAGGGCTGCACAAATAAACCCTGTCTCAAAAAACTAAACAAACAAAAAAGAAAATTGCATAGTAGTCTGTAATGACCTATTTCAGAAAGGACTGGAGTTAAACATACAACCTTTAAGCTGTACTTACCATTGCTGTTATTCCGCTTAAACCAATATTATACCCGTGTATTTGCTCTGTCAAGTGAATAGGCAGAGCTAGGGCTTTGTTCTGCTCTGAAGATGGGGCCTCAGAGAGCCCAGCCTGTTCTTGAACAGGGTGATCCCCCTGCCTCCACCTCCCAGTGTCATATCACAAACATGGATCAACACACAGCTACATTGCTGTTTCTGATGGAACAGATCTAAGCACCCAGATTATGAAGATCACCTTTTCCTTCAGATGCTTCAGATATGTTCCCTAATGTGAGAAAAATATCTTAAGGGGCTAATTAAAAAAAAAAAAGATATTAGTATTAGGGCAAAGCATTCCTACAAAAATATCACCTTGCCCATTATTGGGGGGCAGGTTAGGAGAGTTACAAACCCAGAACTACTCCCGGCTACGTTTGTACTTGGTTTGCATTTGCAAATATACACCTAATATTTGTGGAAAGTCGTGCTGGAGTGATGGCGAGGACTAAAACCACGAACTGTCGCATTCATCACATCATTCAGTCAGACATTCGTCATTAGCAAACACTGCAACACTATCTCATTTGAAGGGCAGCCCCTCTTGCCCTGCTCCCCTCATCTGACACTCATTTCGTCGTTACACACACACACGGACACGGACACAGCCATGCTTACATAGACCATATGGAAACAAAGCTAAAAGGTGCCCTGCATTTGAAGACTACACTAGTGATAATAGTTTATAAGTTCAAGCTCTAATGGCTGTTCTCTTGTTCCTACTCTGTTCCCTCCGCAGCGTGCCAGGGCCAAAGAGAAAATATTCTGACCTTAGCATGATGTTGTCTTGTAGAGCGGTTGCCTTGTGATGTTTTTTTTTCTTGAGTTTTGTCTTTTTCTGTGTGGCAGTGGTGACGTAGGGCCTTCTAAGCCTCTGGAGAAGTGGCAGATGTGACTGGAGAGGACATGGGGAAGAATCATTCTTCAGCAGATAAGCTTTAAGTGCAGACCCAGGAAAGCAGAGCTGACGTGGCGCCATCTTTTTCTGTCTTCCTGACAAATGCCATCAGCCCCCAAGTTCCAGTTACAAAGATCCAAGGAAACTCAGTAAAGATCACTTTGGGATCACGTCGTAACAAAGCTGATTTGCAGTGACTCTCCTAGTACTTACGGGAAATCTGCTAAAGAAACGTGACTGTAAAAGTCATGACATCAGTACTGAAGCCACGGTTCCCTTCTGGAATAAAGGGCTTGCTAGGCCTCTGTAAATGCACAATTACATATCCCCATAAACACATTCTAAACTCATAACGATCAGAATTATAGCTTATATATTATGAAATGTAGTTAAGCAGTTTAAAAGGATATTAAAAATATCTGTAGAGTGTAAGTAAAAAGAAATGGGTACAGAAAAGAAAACCCAGGACCAGTTCTTTAACAAGATGATGCGGCATTGTGGAAATGTAATACTGGTCTTCCTTCCTCGCTGTGTGCCGGTCACACGCCTGCTTATGAATATCAGTGAGGCTTCCTTCTGAAAGTCTCCTGAACAGGGGAGCGCTATTCCGTAGTGGGAGATTTCCACAAACCATACACTGTTTTCTTCTTCAGAACTTAGCAATACGGTCCCATAATGTAGAATAAATTTTTGTTAATCTCAGAATTTATGTATAGTGTTTGCTCAGCCTCAAATTTCAAAAGAAAAATAAGTACTAAATGAAATGATAATATGTCATGAAAAGCCTTTCCTCAGGTGAGATTTAGTGAGAGTTGAGTCTGGCTATGACTACAAACGCTTTGCTACACATACACTCCTTAACCACACGAATCTTATGACCATATTATTTCCTTATTGTGAATATACTTCTTTTTACCAACTATGTGACTAATTCCTTATTGCTTCTTTGTGTGTGTACGTGTGATTTAAAATGTTCTGATGCTTACTTTGTTTTTATGCAAAATTCTTCAAGTATGTTAATAAAGTTACACAAAGGAATCTGTCCTAAGGAATGAAAGCTGTGGGCAGCGCACACTTTAATCCCAGCACTTAGGAGGCAGAGGCAGGCAGATCTCTGTAAGTTCATGGCCATCCTAGTGTACATAATGATCTCTGTTATATAGCTAGCCAGGGCTATATAATGAGACCTCATCTAAAAAAATTTTATTTAAAAAAATGTAACTTAGAGGTAGTAATAACTTAAATCTCATTCTGGAAATTGGCTGAAAAATTAGAAAAGAGTCCACCCTAAAGGATAATGGGGATAGAGGAGAAAAGAGCAAAGAGGAGAACTTGGCCGGAGTTCAGATTTGGAGCAGGCATGGTGATGTATGCCTGCAATCCTAGCGCTTGGGTGGGGAAGTAGGAGGATCAAGAAAAGTTCAGTACCAGCCTTAGCTACAGAGTGAATTCAAAGCCAGCCTGGGCGACATGAGACCCTGTCTCAAACAAACAGACAAAAATATTCCAAATATATGACTGTTGCAAGACAAAAAGTCTAGACCAGTGTTAGAGATGAAACACAACCAGAGGGTTGATCTCTCTGGGGTGCATAAGCATACAGACCGCAGGCATCTTAAAATACATAGAAAATAGAGGGGAAAAAAATCCCAGTAACTAAAGGAACCTGATCAAGATAGAAAAGATTCAAACAATTTTTGACTGTTTATTGCACTAGATTTACCAAAGAAAATGGCTTGACTTTGACTGTACTAAATGCAAGTGTAACGAAATATAATAACTGTAAGCGGCATAAGTGCATATTATAATGTGAGTAATTTCTGTACATCATTTTAAGTGGAATTTTTGGATTACGTACAGTATTTTTGTTACGTTTTGAAATCCATTGCTTTTACCTAATAAAATTTCCTCCTCTACATTCAGAAGTGAAGCTGTCTGTACAGTACTTTCATTTGTATTGCATTGCTTTGCAACCTGATTCTTTCAGAACACCTAGTCGGCTAAGTCATCAACTCCTCGCATCCTCTAGGGTCACAATAATGTCACCAGAGGTGGTCATGGGTGGCCCGAAAATTTTACTGCTGAATCCTGTTTCTTGTTTATTTGCTTTTATACAGATGGATGACTGGAAAATACAAGGCAAACATGAAAACAAATGAATTGGGTTTATTCCTAAAACAAGTTACTTTTAAAAAACCTGATAAGAGAATTAACTTTATCAGAGCCTTCTTCACTCAAAAGCAAACATGATTTACTACTCAAAAAAAAAAAATTACTTATCTAATAAAATTCACTTTTCTTATTTTCAGGTAGGGAATTTGTGTGTTGACAATAGTGGAATGTTTGGTCTGCTTGTCCCCTTGACAGGGCAGCCTCATTTGCCACGGTGTATCAAACTGTGTATTCATCTGGTTAGCACTCAAGATGAAGAAGGCAGACAGCTTGCAGCTTCTGGCCATCTCTTGGAAAACATCTCTTCCAGGGCCAGGTATTTAGCTGGCCACAGGGTAACATGGCAGTCTCCTTGAGCATCCTACTGTATAACTTCAGTTTAGTTGAACTTGAGACTAAGCTTTGTTTTGCTGCTTTTTGAGACAGGGTCTCTCTCTGTAGCCCACGCTGCCTGTAACTGGTGATGATCTTCCTGCCTTCAGAGTTCTGGAATTAGAGGCTTAAATCACCATACCAAATAAGACAAATTTTTTTCTTAAAGGTTTATTTATTTATTTATTGTATATAGTGTTTTTCCTGCATGTATGCCCTCAAGCCAGGAGAGGGCACCAGACCTCAGTATAGATGGTTGTGAGCCACCATGTGGTTGCTGGGAATTGAACTCAGGACCTTTGGAAGAACAGCTAGTGCTCGTAACCACTGAGCCATCCCTCCAGTCCCACAAGACAGATTTTTAAGACTCAAAGAAAATAAGTGGTAATTTTCCCTGTCGTAGAGACAGGGAATTGGAGAATTACTTTAAGACCAGGCACTTCAGGGCTGATGAGGAGCTCACCAGGTGAAGGCACTTGCCACCAACCCTGGAGACCTAAGTTTGACCCCCCAGAACCATGTGAACACCAACTCTCTCAAGTTGTCCTCTGACCTCCATATGCACAAGGACACATGCCTGTGTCCTCACACGAAGTAAGTATGTCGAGGAAAATAAAACCAGGGCACCCGAGACAAGGAGGATCCAGGCTAGCCAGTGTCATGTAGCAAGAGCTTGTTATAAAATGCCGGTGTGCGCGCTTCTAATCCTGTTGAAATAGGAGCGGCGACGGGGCTGCATCCCCAACACCCCGGCCGCTTGGCTAGCTCATGCCCGAAATAACAACACACAAACTGTATTCATTTAAGAACTGCTTGGCCCATGAACTCTAGCCCTTACAGGCTAATTCTCGCACCTGGACTAGCCCATTTCTAATGATGTGTGTAAGCACCCCAAGGTGCGCTTACTGGGAAGATTCTAGCCTAAGTCCATCGTGGGTTGCAGCTGCCTGGGAGAGCAGAGCATGGCGGCTGTCCGGTCCCTCTGGAAGCAGCGCAGAGTCTGACCTCACTTCCTCTTCCGCCCAGAATTCTATTCTGTTTACTCCTCCCATCTATGTTCTAACCTATGAGGCCAAGCAGTGTGTTTATTACTTAACCAATGAAATCAACAGATTGATATGACACTCCCACATCATAATCCTAGGGCAAGAAAGCAGAAGGAGGTGGGTCTCTGTGAGTTCAAGGCCAGCCTGGTCTACAAAGGGAATTTCAGGACAGTCAAGGCTGTTACACAGAGAAACTCTGGAAACCCTGTCTTAAACCAAAAAAAAAAAAAAAAAAAGGAAAAAAATATAAAATGACATTGTTTATTAAATACAATCATTAGATAATTAGTTGGACTCCAGTCTGCTCATACATGCCCAAGCTAGAAGCTGTAACTCATTCTACTTTCTCGTGGGGCCTCCTCAGAGCCATCCCAGCCCTAATGAAAGCTGTGCCTGGGTGGGAACTCAGGACACTTTAGCCTTGTGCTACACCATCAGCTGTGCTCTAACACATCGTATGTCTCATGTTCACTCAAGCTCTCTGGGGCAGAGATTTTCCAATGTCAGTCTGCTTCAGCTCTCAGTCTCTGCGATGCCCTTCAATACAGACATGCACATGCACATGCGTGAGAGGGTCTTCTTACCCAGGAGGGAGATGAAGTTGTTTGCAGATGGAAATACTGTTCTTTGGGTAGCTTGTAATAAACAATGGGTGGGCTGGGAATATGGCCCAGAGATAAAGTGCATTATAGGTTTTGTGTACATGAAACCCAACACCAAACCAAAAACCAAAACCCTCCAGGCTACAAGTTCCTACTGTGTTCCAGACGCTCTTCTGAGGAGTAGGCTTTAGCTGGAGAGTGCTTATGGTATGTTAAAGCTTTGGATTATTTGACCAATCTGTGAAGATTTAGTCTTTGGATTAAAAAATATTTTGGAAACAGTTTAGTATGTATGATATGGTAAAGGATTTTACCTGTTAGAGCTCAGTACTGATTTGTGTGTCAGTAATATGACTGGGGAACTTGGTTTCAGTTGAATGTTAATTGCTGTTTTAAAAATCCTTTGGAAGGGCTGTGGAGGTAGCACGGTTGACAGAGCTCTTGCTAGCCTGCACGAAGCCCTGAGTTTGATCCTTACATGAATAAAATGGGCATGTTGGTTCATGCTTATGATGGTAGCACTTGGGAGGGTAAGGCAAGAACAGCAGAAAGTTGAGGTCATCTTTGACCACATAGTGAGTTTGAGGTAAGTCTAGGCTACATTAAGACCCTGTCTGGAAAAAAAAATTGTGAAAATATAATAAAACAATTACTGATGACCCTGCCATCTAAATTCTGGTGTCATTTTCATATACATAGAATAATTCTACTAACAGAATAAGATACAGGAGCTGGTGAGGTAGCTCATTGTT